GTTCCATCTGTATTTGGTAGCTGTCCAAATTACTTCTCTAAATTAATTGCCATAAGTTTCCTATAGAAAAGAGCAATATTTTGCTTCAGTAGTTCTTCTAAACTTACTTTGTGTGAAATTGGATGGTTTTATCTGTTAGAGAAATGTGGTTGCCCTTCCACATACAAGGTAGCAAGGATTGAAGGTTTCCTAGGAAACATGGAAAATAGGCAAGGAAATTAGACAAAGTAGATTCGTTCAATCTTTGGAAGTCTTTCTTTCACTGAAAGACAGAATATTGCTAAAAAGAAACAAATTTTACATTCATAATTATCAGGATGAGAAACTTAGTACTTTTTAATAGCACTCGGTTGTGTTTCTGACTCATTAAAGCCGTTTCATCCAATTTATGCAAGTCAAGCAGACATTCTTTTTCTATTTTGCACTTAATGATCCTTTTTTTTCTAATTAGAGTTTGTTAGAAAGCAGTAGGGGATGTAGATCTTGCTTTTTAAGAAGCAAAACCACACTTGTGGTTTGTATAAGAAGACAAGGTGTAAACTGTTTGTCTTTTATATTTAATTTTTTGCTTTTTGGAGGATTTTTTTTATGTTCTACTGTAATGTTTCTTAATGAATTTGCTGAGTGTATAGTTTAAATTTAGATATTTTCGTTTAATGATGACTGCTAGATTTATTAATTGAAGAAAAATATATTTAGTTGGATTTCTTCCAATGAAATAACATTTCAGTTAGTTCAGCTCATGCTGCGTCTTCTAATCTTATGAGCATGAAATGTATTTAATGTTAAATGTTGCAGAATCTGATGTCTGACTTCAATACTGCAACTTCAATATCTTCATTAGTGCTGTGTAATTCAGTGCAGAGGAGGCCTGGAGTACTGCATAAAATGCAAATAAGACATCACAGAGGCTCTTGTGTCTTAATGAAGTAAGCCTTCGTTCAGGCTTTGCAGTAAATGTCCTAGCAAAGGGTTTGTTCTCCATTGGGGTACATATCCTTCTTTTTTCAGAAATAGCCTGCATTCAAGCTTCATACCACAAACTAATAAAGTCAATCCTTTTGAACTTCTAAAATACTGGTAATAAGTGCAGAAAGCTAAACTACAGGTTTAAAATGTTCAAGGTTTCCACAAATAAATCATAGGTAATTTAGGTGTTTATATGATTATCTCCATAGCAGATGGAACATTTTATAGGAAAAAGGGACTCATCTGAAAATATATGACACTGTAGTGTGAATCACAGGGTTGAGCTCTCCTGCAGTCACTGAGTATTATTGAGGTAAAATTCTTTTGCAAGTGTCATGCTTCAGAGTTCATATGCTGTACAGTCTTGGATTTTTTTTTTTTTTTTACTAGCTCAGGTTTGGAATATGTACCAGTGTTTAGCCTTATATGTGTTTCCATCTGTGATTTTATTTATATATGTAGAATTAAAGAAAGACTGCAAGACAGCAGATGAGATTGTTTTTATGAAGATCCTACTTAGTGGATAATTTCTTTTTTCTTAAATGAAAAATTTGCAATGCCAAAGCATAGGAATGCATTTTAAAATAAGTACTAATAGGAAAAGGATTAGTCAGACCTAAATGCCTGCTCAGAAAGCTTTCATTTTCAGAGAATGTCAGTCTTTTACTGCTTTTGGAATTTTTTGTTGAAGGTCTTCTCTTGATATTTTGGAGTGCAGAGCATGTTATTAATGGATACCTAGCAACCTAAACATTAGCCCTACACTGTCAAAGTTTATGGTATGTATTTATGTAAGTACTATCGAAAATTGTATTTAGTTGGGGGAATGATACATATAGGTTAGCCAAAAAAAAATCAAAAAATCAAAGTTTGTGTGGCTTCTACAGCTGACACCAAAGAGGTAAAAATTGATGTTTTTTTATCCATGCCTTATCTTTTATCAGATTTTGAAAAAGTATTTCTCCCTTAATGATGTACAACAGATGATTCAATATATAAAACACAGTTGAATGAACAAAATAGCTGCATGCTGTTGCTTTCAAAATCTGAATCCTAGACTTTTATTGGCAGTAGTGATATTCTGTTTGGTTTTAAACAGTTTGCTTAACAATATGCTCTCAACAGCCTCTTTTTAACACAAATAAAGGAAGCTATTCTACATCAGAGTTAGATCAAGAGTTTCAATTTCAAGAGCAAATGCTGCGTGCATCTGTTGAGGATGATAGAATGTGGGATTTTACCTCTTTGATTGAGTTGAAAGCTTTTAGGAATTACCTCCAGCCATCAATAAATAAATTAATGAGTTAGACTAAGACAAATGTTAGTTCCATTCTAAAACGAGACAATTTCTTGTTTTCTATGAAATTGTGGTAATTCCTATTACATAGGAAGGAAAAATCTAAGCACAAGCCAATGTTGCAGAAGTTCATATAGAATAATAGAAATTTTACTCAGCATGTACATGCATCGTGCAGCATACATATACAACTCCACTGTAAAGCGAGTCACTCATAATGATGTTACTGAAGAATGTATGTCTTGAAAATTATTCAGATTTACCATGACATCAGGAAGCACTGATTATACAGATGTAAATTATAGATGCTCCCACTGAAAAGACTTCATTTTCAGGCTAGCCTTTAAATGCAAAAGTTGTTTTCTTCTTTAAACTTAGGAGGATATTTATAAACTCTTTCTTAAAAAGAAGTACAAGGACATAACATAGCAGGACATATTCATTACTAACAGATCAAGGGAATGCTGATACATTTATTAAGAATTACGATAATTTCTTAGTGATGGTCTTCACCACCATAAAGTCCAAGATTCCTCTTGTAGCTGTCCTGTCTTTTGTTAAAAATGAGATAATCTAATTTGTGGTGTCAGAAAAAGTAGTAGCTGACCAAAGCTTTCAGTTTATAACAAGGGAGTTAGTGGGCCATGAATTACAAAGCATCTCAGTTGCTAGCAGGAAACAGCATAGTTCTGTATAAACAGCATCAGTAACTGATGGGAAACAGTTTTTCATGTGAATCATATTTACATTATGCAGTAGTTTGAGCCCCAAACCTTAATAATAGAAGGCTATGAATAACAAGAATACATGGATTATGAGAATGTTGCCAAACAGAGAGTACTGTAGGGAAATACAATTTATATTTTAGACTAAAATCATGCTGCAATCACTGAGGAAGGAAAGTTATCTGCCTCTCTAGAGTTACCTTTTTTTCCTCGGTTTCCTGTAATGTACCTAGTATTAGGTATGGTTAGCAATAGAGTACTAAATTAAATGGACCCTAGATGTATCCAGCAGTGGCACTATCTTTATACCTGACTACATATTTGCCATGAAAGCAGTTTAATATTCAATGAAATACATTACATATAAATGGACTGTGCAATAATCTTGTATCTGTTTTTTTTAGAAATGATGCTTCGTTTCTTCAAAAGTGATGCTTCATCTTATAATACATTTTGTACTTTTAAAGTCTTTTGATTGAAATATATTTTATTGCTCCTTCCATTTGTTATTTGTGTTATTTGTTAACTTCGGGAGTAAAGCTTCTAATTCCGAGGAAAAGCCATGCAAAACTTGTGCATTTTGCTATTCATTCAGCTTACAGAATGCATTGGGTATCAGGATTTATTCCTTCGAAGTTTGGAGAAGTCATTCCTGCACAGAAAGACATTAACTGTGAAGCTTGGATCCACACCTGTGCCTAATACTTAATATACTTATAACTTGCCACCATCACTATGTTTTTTTTTATTTAGTCTAAAATAGAAGTTTATGAAGTTTGACTTTGTACTGATTCAGGTTTCTTGTGCTTTTGAGCTTTGTCTCTATTAACTTCCTGCCAGAAACTTGGAAGAGATCAATTGTTTTTGGTTTGGTTTTTTGTTTATTTATTTATTTTTGTTTTGTTTTGGGGCCTTTGTTTTTGTTTTTGTTTTGTTTGTTTGTTTTTTTGTAATAATAACATGCTAGAAGAAAAGCTGAATGTTACTGGCATTATTCCAAATTACTCTTAGGGAACTCCAAACTGGTGAGCTACAGAATGCCAGTAATTGAGTATCCCTTATAAAGGTTTCTATTAATTTCATCCATCACCATCAGGTCTTTCAATTATACCTAATTTCTTTTCGGTGTTGGGTGTATCATGAAGTAGATCTTTGATTGCTAATAAACTGGTAGACCTCTGTGTTACTTACCTTCATGAAATTTAAGATACTATCTCCAAGTAAGTTCACCTTTGATTCAGGATCCTAGATGACTGCAGAAAATACTTCTCTCAGTAATTGCTATTGCTTCAAGAGTGTCTTTTCTTCATGTATGTAACTACACTAGGCAGATAAGGAAAGAAAAAGTATCTAGCAAAACAGGGGAAATAGAGTAGTGCTACCAGTTATGGAACTGAATGCTTAGAAAGAAGTAAGCTGTTCACCAGCATAGTCAAAGTGTATATATGCTGAATTGGATGTCCTTAGGATAGGTAATACGATGATACAACAAATAAATATGTAATCAGTGTTGTTATCTGACCAAAAAATGTGGTTGTTAAACCTGACATATGTTTTTGATGGTGCTTTACATAAGCTTTTAATGAGCAGTATTGTATGTTAGACTCATACTTGCACTATATTGTTTTGTTGTTAAATATGTTCATAACAGAAAACAAATGTGAAGCACATTACTGTAATTAAGGACTGGAGTAAACCCACTGATCTTTATTTGAAACTGCTGATAAATTTAACTTTACATCATTCCTGGATTGCTTCAGATGATTAGATAGAAATAGAAGTCAGTTCATAGAAATAGAAGTCAGCTCAGCAATGTTATTTCCCCTATGTCTTTGGGTTTTGCATTTCTTAAGAATATATGTAGTACATTTTTGTTATGTTATTCACTGACTGGGAGGAAATCAATGGAGAAAAGTATGGAAGCAGTGAGAGAGGGAGGAGACATGCTATATATTTTTTAGCATCTGAAAGCACAGTGCTGAAACCACATCCTTCTTATTTGCTCTTAGGTTTTCAGAAAAAACAACAATCGAATGGTTGCAGCTCTTTGAAGGTAGTGGGGTTCCATATGGCCCGATCAACAATATGCAGCAAGTATTTTCCGATCCTCAGGTTGGTCCTCATCAAGTCTTTTCTATATGTTATTACATGTGTTTTACAAGTGCTGAGTAATGATCGCCTTTTCTGCCACTCAAACCTGATTTTGGCTACTTTAAAATGGGATTTGAGTTATATGGTAGATTGAGTTTAAGCCAATAATATGTCATAAGAAGAAATAAATACAGATCCTTAAATGAATTCTATGCTTAGGAACACAGATTTTTTCATAATGAATTAAACCATAGATATTCCATGTCTCATATAGAGTCTGTCTTTCAAAATTGGCTGGTAAAACAAGGAAAGAAATGGTAATATAGTATGTAATTGCATTTTATCAGATAAATATGCAGAAAAGTACCTTTGTTGCTGCCCACAAGTAACTAATTTTCTGTATGGAGTATGGATAACCGGAATCAATACTCTTTGAAATAAAACAGGCAACTTTTTGACTGTAAACAGAAAAATGAAGCACAAAAGTCATATGAAGAAAGATCTTAACTTTTTCTTGGCCTGGCAGTTTCAGTAGCTGAAAACACTTCATCTGTGCATCTCTTTTAAATTTTAAATCTTTCACTGAATTATATCTATACTTAGTTATATACAATATTTTCACTTTTGAGTATCTGTAGAGTTGCATTATCTGCATATTCTCTCATCCCTCCCCTTCTTCTCACCCCTCTGGATAGGTTAAAGAGCCCAAGACAAATTATACTGTCTTGAACACTGTAAGAGAGTATTTTATGGCTATTCTATGGTGTTCTGTCTCCTCTAAGTTGAATTTTACTAATGAGAGTAGCAAGAGAAATGATCAATCATTGTCTGCTTATGTTTATAATAAATATGTTTGCTATAAATATTATTATCATACTCTTAGAGGCATAAAACAGTATTTGTTAGGCTGCTGCAGGGAAAGAAGTTTGTTTTTCTTAAATAAATACACTCTTTCTCCTTAAAATGATGTAGTATCATGCTGTAAAGTATGCATGGGCCAAATTTTTCACTTCATAACTTTCACAGGCATTAAGGTTGGGCTTTGAAGAACATACAGCAAGACTATTTTACTCAGACTTGGCTGTACTTGGGACAACATTGGAAAAATAGTCTTTGCTTTTTTTTGATGCTGTGAATTTAAACGAGTCCACTCTGAAAGAGACTGCTTTTTAAAATGCTATATGTCGTGGCATGGCTATTACCTCCCAAACTGAAAAGATGTTAACTTGGTTGCCTTGCTCTTGTTACAATTCACCTAAATATTATTTTTACACATATATTATTATAATTATATATATGTTATTTATATATACCTGTCAGGTTATTACTTGATATAGTTAACCCATCCATAAAAGGTATCACAGTGCTTTGCAGTTAGACATCACCATATGGCATGTTTTTCAAAATATTTTTCTGTAAAGGGGCATGCTCATCTCTCTTCTCTTCCTCACAAAACTGCTGAAAAGCTTTGTCTTTTCTATACTCTTCTCTGATATACATGGCACTCAGACATTGTGTTCTTATTACTATTGGAAACTGAATATCAGTATTTGTGGAATGCTTCATGTTATACATTTGTTTCATTTCTGGTGCTGCTTACATCCTTAAGCGTTTTCTCACAGGTATTTTCAGTTCAAAGGAAGCAGGGGAAAAAAAAGATTGCAGTTCTTTCCTCTTCTTCCTTTTAAATATGGAAAACTGTTGATGTTTGAGGTATTGGCCTTGTGCAGGATGTCTACTTTACATCACTTATATAAAATTAAGCCTCCCACTCCACCATTATGTATCTGCAAGACTATCCAGCAGACAGCAATTTGGAGAGTTGTATATTTAGCCTATTAAGTATATTTTTCTAATTTCTACCCGAATTTTTATTTTGACGGTGAAGACTTCAGACCTTCAGAGTTGGCTTCATTGCTCTAAGTCACTTATCCATATCTTGCATTTAGAGTTTAGGGACAGTTCAAGCAGTTTTTCACCTTCACATTTCTTCTGGTTTTGCTGTTGTACCTTGCCCAGTCTCCCTCCACTTGTTCATTTTTCTGTTGCTGTATAGGCAGCATGAATCCAGGATAAAAACACATGTTTGTATATAGCTTTGCTCTTTCATAAGCTAGTCTGAAATTTTAGTTTTTGAAACCTTGAAAAATGTGACAGTGCCCTGAGACTGTCTAAGACTGGGGAAGAAGTTTAACAACACCTGAGAGTCTGTAATCTAGGTATCCTCTGCACTGTGAAATCCCAATTGTAATAGGGAAAAACCAGCACCCACCAACAAGAACATAGTGTAATCACAGCAAGATTTATCATAGAATATTTTTAGTTGTCAAGGACCTTTTAAAGGTCATCTACTCCAACCACCTTGCATTGAGCAGAGATATCTTCAACTAGATCAGGTTGCTCAGAGTCCCATCCAGCCCAATCTTGAATATTTTCACGGATGGAGCATCTACCACTTCTCTGAGCAATGTGTTCCAGTGTTTTTCCACCCTCATTGTAAAATGCTTTTCTATATCTAATCTAAATTGACCCTTCTTCAATTTAAAATAATTACTCATTGTCCACTCACAACAAGCCCTGCTAAAAAGTCTTACAGTCCTCTTTCAAGTACTGAAAGACCACAATAGGGACGCCCTGGAGTCTTCTCTTCTCCAGGCTGAACAGTCCTAGTTCTCTTGGCCTTTCCTCATAGGAGAGGTGCTCCATCCAGCCATCATCTTCATGGCCCTCCTCGGGACTTGCTCCAACAGGTTAATGTCCTTCCTATACTGAGGACCCTGGAGCTGGACATAATACTTCAGGTGGGAGGTCATGAGAGCAGAGCAGAGGGGGAGAATCACCTCTCTTGACCTGCTGGTTACACTTCCTTTGATGCATTCCAGGATACGGTTGGCCTTCTGGTCTATGAGCATGCATTGCCAGGTCATGTTCAGCCTCTCATCCTCCAGCAGCCCCAAGTCCTTCTCTGCAGGGATGCTCTTGATACATTCATCCTCCAGCCCATATCGATACTGAGGGTTGCCTTGACCTAGGTGTAGGACTTTGTTGAATCTCGAGCTTGTCCAGGTCCCTCTATATGGCATCCCATCCTTCAGGCCTGTCAACCACACAACTCAGTTTGGTGTCGTCTGCAGACATTATATAGCACTGGTCCCAGTATGGACCCCTAAGAGACACTATTTGTCACCAGTGGTATGTCTCACTGAGCCATTGATCACCCTCTGGATGTGACTGTCCAGCCAATTCTTCATCCACCAAACAGCACACATTTCTTATATGTAAATCTGAACCCAGTCATCAAGTATAACTTTGTTATAACAGTGCTCCCATTATAATATGATGGTTTTTTACTCTCAATTTAGATCAGAAAATACATTTCTAAGACAGATGTCACTCAGCTTGCATTTAATAACCATGCATAGTAATACTGCATAACAACATGTACAAACAGCATGATTTAAAATTAAGGAGTTTATCATAACACAGTAATCTGCTTTTCATTGCCATTTGCTTTTAACAATAGCGAAGACTTTAGAAAAACATGAAACCCAGTGATTCTTCAGTATAGTCAAACTGTCCTCTACCTCTAATAGATAATGTTATAGGTTTTGCTAACTTCTGCCATTTTGGGCATTACCAGAAGGTTTGGATTTAAACATTTTATTTACTTTCATTTAATTGACACCATCTTCCTCTTTGATCTTTGAATTTTGATATCCATAATGCAAACACCTTTTATTTTAAGTGCAGTCTTGCACCGTTAGTGCACTAAGATGCACTGCATGGATGTCAACAATTGTGTGCTCAGCTGTCAGTAATGCTGTAAAGTGTGTGCTAGGCTGGTACCAGAAAAAGACAGAAATCCTGGGAGGAGGCTGGAATAATGCAAGGGATGGCTAGAAGAAAGTGTAAGGAAATAGGGGGAAAGACAATTAAAGGAGATGACTGAAATGGTCTGATGGAACTCAATTGGCTTACAGGTGAGTTGTGTTTTCAAATTTTATTTTAACTAAAAGGACCTCAGAGCTCTGAAGGCTCAGAGTGGTTTATATAACTTTTTCTATAAACTGAGATAAAACAACACATTTTTTGATCCCAGGACATTTTGTTAATATCGTTAACAGCTTCAATCATACTCCAAGTGAGCTGCCAAAAAACAGGAAGTTTTTTACTAAGTTGGAGTGCCAGGTGATACTGTTTTTTCCATGAATGGAGTGAAACATCCACTTTTCCCACTGATTATAATCTTTTATTCATTTGTGAAGTTAAAATGAATACTACAGGCATTTGTACTGCTAAGTCAATCAGTCTGTGGATAGACGTATGTGTATGCTTGTGCATATGTGGATAAAAAGGCTGAAAAAAAGAGGAGATTCACTATTTAAGGGAACAATTTTCTTAAAAACGTGGGAGAGAAAGGAATATTTGTAAAAGTTCTTACAAAATAGTAGAGTATACACTATTTAAATGAAAATTTATATAGTTAAGCTTTTTTAAACTATTTTTTAAAAATGTGCTCTTTTAATCATGCCAAGATAGTACAAACATTAAAAGAATTCTTAAACCATTTAAAAAACTTGTGAATGACCTCAGTATGGTCCCATTTAGCATACCTTGGGGAATACGTGTGTGAAATACAATGTGGTTTTAGGCTTTCCAAACAAAACAAACTTAAAAGAGAATACCATTTTTAATAGAAACTATTCAAATTCTCCCAAAAGATAAAAGAAAACAAAAAGAGGTACGCACTGTACTGCAGCTAAGTATGCAAGAACAAAGATCTTTGCTGATTAAGTGAGGAGACCCAAGGTTGGCTTTTTTTTTCTTTAGAACGTTGCCCTCCCATTTTCACAGTGTAATTTCTTTCAAGATTCTTATACAGTGCTCTTTAATTAAATAGCTGGCATATATAAGAAGCAACAAAACAACCCAGAAATACAGGCAGTTTAATAAATTGTTATTTGATGTTTTACCAGATTAAATCCATTCATATTGATGAATTTTACTATATGAATGTTGCC